TCGGGGACTGGCATAGGAAGCATCATACTCCGGAAACGTCGTAGCAAGTCCAGGACGAAAGCGGCGGCACCGGCCGTTCCCACCACCACGCCTACGAATGGGACGTCGCCGAGAACTTCGCCGACCGAAATGACGAGAATGCTGCAAGATCAGGACCAAGGCCTAACAGCTGCTGCTTCTGCATTACCACTTTCATCCACGTCCAAGAGCGAAGATGACAAAAGACAGTTTAGAAGATCTAGGGAGTTTCTGTAGTATTTTTTTTTTTTTTTTGGTAGTGAAGGGCAGCGTGCAATTCGCATTTGCACACCTCTGTTTGTTAAAGGTATGGACCAAAGTCTTTTCTCATAACTAAATACTACAGGAATAATCTATTAGTATTTATCACAAAATAAATTAATATTGTCTGGATTACATACCTACACTTAAATTATGATGAAATAAGCCAAAACATTTTTCTTGTGCTCCATCTGCCACTAACTTCAGAGCTCACGACACTCGAAGAGAAAATTGTAATAAGTTACGCGCTTGAGTGTCGTGGTCCCAGTACCAGATTATTCAGAACACCAGAAAAGGCTCCGTTAACTTGGAGAATTCATGTTGATCAGTTGTTATTAATCTTTGAATCAAAAGTTGGTGATCTGAGGCAATTGGCAAACCTGTATTTAAAAACTTCATTTAGAATGTTCATTTCAGTCTAGAATCATATTCTTTTCGGTTGAACAAGTTCATTCGTTGTCTTATTTGAAGCTTCCACAACTAAAAACTTTATCTGGAAGTAACGGGCGTTAACTCTGCGTTTGCCAGTTTAGTTAGTGTGACACGCGGCCGGCCGTCTTGCTAGTAAGAATTAATGAATGTTTGGGGGGAAAAAAACATTATTTTATAATATAGGATCCCAAATTTAAAACTCGTTCTGTTAGTGAAAAGTTTTCCATTTTAAATTATTAATTTATTAATATAGCATAATCCGTTAGAGAAAATGTTCTGTAAAGTTTATCGCAAGATCTCTGCATTTTATTGTACAGTGAAAATCTGATTATCTGTGCTAATGAAGGGTTCCAGAAACATGAATAATCGAAAAGGTTCTGTTTGATTACATATTTTTCTATTTTCTAAGAAAGAGATTTTAACGATCGCTTGTTTTTGCGAGAAGTTTCGGCACCTTACAGCAGCACAAATTTCGCTGTTATCTGTTTCGTCGTAGCATTAAAACCTTTCTGTCGTGCGCCGGAATCTTGCTTAACCTACATTGCTCAGTGGCCATTCTTGAGCATTTTCTCGTACGTGTTTTCAGAACTTCAACTCGGACTTTTGTGTTTGTGTCTGTATAATTTCTTTACGATTATCAGCCATCTTAGAATTCACAAGTCTTAAGTTTCACTTTTACGTGACTGATACCACCGTGACCACCTACCGATAACAGTGACAATAAAGTATTCTTTGACCAAATCTTGTACAGGACCTCCCAAAACCAACCCCGCCCTTCTCCAAAGCAGGCATGGAAATATTTCGATGCGTGTGTCCGGATTTAATGAAAAGTCACGTACAGAGTCGTGCGTGTGCGATCGTCAAACTGGATAATGCGCACGCAGATAATCAGGAGTTTACTGTAATTTCTTTACTTGCCTATAGAGCTTTGTATTGATAATAAACATATCATAGGTGCGTTCTCCCGCCACGTGGCTTTCGGCAAAACATTTTTTAAGATGCTGTTGTACCGAATAGTAACCGAGGACTGTTAATTTTAGTTCTCATAAATGACTAATTGACAGCAGTTTATATCCATATTCAGTTTGTAGAATGGAATTAATATATTTAACTAAATGCCTTAATACTTTTTTCGTAGAATCCATGCATTTTTCTACCAGTTTTCGGGCTTCTTTTAACTTTGGATACGTTACTTGTAAGACTCGGACAATGAACTAGCATTTATGTAACATAGTAAAATGGACAATTTTAGATTTTTTTCAACAATTTATCCAGAAGTTTAGTATTTAAAAATTATAATAATTACATTCTATAGAAATTTGTTTATGGTTAGAAGAATATACGGTTTGTGGCGCACGTCAAATGGTTTAACAAAAACTCGTTTTTAAAGTTGATTTACTGCGTTCTTTTTAATCCTTGGTAAAGTGAACTGGTTTCAGACAGCAGTTGTTCTTGATCCTTCAAAGTTTTAAATTTGTGCATGTTTCCAAAGTTTTTTAACCAAGTCTTCTTCAGGTCGAATTTTCTACTAATTCTTGGGGAAGCATTACCCAGTATATTTGGCATAATTACTTAGGGGTTGCAATCCTACACGTGAAACCGATATTATTTTATGGCTTGCGATTATAATAATTTCTGCCCACAGATAATTTGTTATACTTTTATAGAACAGAGAATAACTCTGTGCCTAAAGGCGGTATAACGCACGCGTGTAATAAAACATCGCACTGAATAGGTCAGAGCCTTTAGATCATACGAACATTAAATATGACGTCCAGAGTTAAACCGATCATCACACAACGTGTAGATAATGAATTTGTTTGAAGTCGTCAGTTTCATGTTTCCCATGGCTTGAACAAAGTTTAGTTATTGTGGTTATTTCCAAATTACTTAACGCACTTTCACTCGTTTTAAATAAAATAAATAGGCCTGCTCGCTGTTATGAGGCGGCGGAATTGTACGTGGGAGGACTCGGGCTTTGCCTGATGCCACCTGTCGTGTGTGCGTTGTACAGTGTAACCTTGATATAGAGCAAATTTATGAAATTCACAAAAAGAAATGCTATTTATAATTGGTATTAGACATCTGAAATCGATTTAAATAACTAGTAATTTAATATATATGATAATACAGCACTGAGAAGGGAAATGTCCTTGGTTTAATGCAAAGTTTTACGTGAAAGTGTCCGCAGTCAACCTAACAGCATAATATGATTGCACCGTGAAAGCGCCTAAGCTGGTACAAGAATACAGAATTCAAAATTTTCAAGGTCAAAGAATAACTTCCAACAGATCGTCACATTTATACACCATTGATACGGCTATTTCTGTGTCAGAAGAAGGTGTATAATTGCTTCCAAGAACCTGCAGTAAAGTTTGGAAAGATCATGCAAGAAGACATTGATTAAATGATTCAGGATTTTAACTTAAAAAATATTTTTTTAAACCACCGCAAGTGGTAAAATGATAAAATTATTTTATGAGCATATTTTTGGAGAAATAAAATATCAACCAACGAAACCCGTGTAATAAAATCTTCTTGGGCGACAAGCCACGTCCATTTTGATGCAACTTTTCGCCCGAGAAGAATTTATTGCATTTAGTCACAGCAAAAGCCTCGTGTCTTATACAGGGTGATTCAAAAGGTTAGGGCCAAACTGAAGGAGCGTATAGAGGGACTCGGAGAGAATCCATGTCCTCCGAAGTTATCCCGAGTAAGTCGAGGCCATTGAAGTTGTGGGAAGTCTGATAACATACCGCTGAAATAATCGTACTTTGCTATTCTCCTACGGTCAATGCAGATTATTGTGGAAAGACTTGCGGCTAGTTAGGAATCACTCATTAAGTTGAAAGTACTAGAAAGAATCCTGGTTTTATTAAAAAAAAATTCCAATTTACAGTGCTGAAGAGTTTTTTGTCATACTTGTTCTGTCATGGTTACATTGTACTTTAGAAACTCGTATTAAGAACGAATCGGCAACTTGGCTGACAGCTTCAAGCAGGTCTGTGGAGGAGTAGAAGTTCATTCTTTCTGTGAGACTGGTCTTAAACTATTGTATACGCTGCAGAGTTAAAGACAAAAACAATTTGGAAAAATATCAGAACAAGTTTCCTTACTGTGAGCTAATGTTCATTATTAGCGTGATGTACATGAAATACAAATAGCGCTAACTTTGTTCGCATGACGGTAGTAGCTACCCTAAACTCATACTTTTTTTATTCCCTACAATAGCAGATGCACAAAATTTTGATTTGAGCAACGTAGCACCACGTAGAATTATACAGCGATGTATGATGGATGAAACAAAAAAGAATTTCAACTCGAACAGGATTTGATCCCATGACCGCCTGCGTAACCTGTTACACTGTTATGGATTTACATTACTTAAAGAACGTACGAGTTGTAATGTTAGAAATTAAAAGTGAGATAACAAGACATTTTCTTTTCCTTTTAAAAATAACAGGTTAAGAGACAATTTAGCGTACGCTCTAGATTATAAATTGTATTTATTGGTTGGTTTTGTAATATGCACAGAAATGAATTTAAGGCTCTCTATTTGAAACTATGCTGTTCACTCAACGATCAATTTCCTATTAACAACTCAGTAGAGAAGAAAAATATGTTCAAAACGTATGTTTATGCATTGTAGTGATAATATTGGAAAGTATATAAAATGAATTTCAGTACATTCTAAGTTTCTTTTGTGAAAATAAGATAAGTAGGTAAGAGTTTGTGAATAGACCTTATTATTAATATATATGCTATGTTTTTATATCATCTGTGGCCTATTGCTTACTTATGACTGTGGCACACGTAACATTTCTATGGTACACAAAGTGGAAGAATATTTATGAACGAGCTCTCCGAAGTGTGATTTTTCGTAAATAAATATGCAGAAAACTTTTAAACAAGAAAAATGTAGGATGTTAAGTTTTCAAGACAGAAGACAGTCGAATGGAGTGTTACCTAAATATATAAAATCATGTAAGACACTTAATGCCAGACGTGTTTCGACCTCGAGAGGTCACGATCAGTGGAAAAAACAAATACCGACGCAACGTTGAAGTTCACGGGCACGGACATCGCGACCACGGTTCACCGTAGACCAACAACGGAAACCTCAACTTGGGCCATCGGACATTACGCCAAGTAACTCGATTTAGATACCAGCGTGGTATTACATGAAGTATGGTTTTATAAAGTGCGACATTTCTGCTTTATAACAAACCATCGTCTTATGAATTGTACGATTTAATAAGAATTAACTTGTTTTTGCCACCGATGATGATCTCTTGAGGTCGAAACGCATCTGGCACCAAGTGTCTTTCCAAAGTGTAAACAGTTTTGTTTGAATGCATAATTTTATATATTTAGAAGTGATATTTGTTCTACAGACACTGATATAGATGTAAGATGTCTGTCTTCTGGATTGTAGCGTGTAGAAGTGCTTACAACTGTTTCAGAGGTCCTTGCTACCTCCATCATCAGGGCAATGAAATATGGATGTAGTTCGTCATTTAAGTACATTATGGATTATGGTATATTCTGTGGCTCGTATCCGCACACTCCAGGGTCAGCCTTCATTGACACATGCTGAGATAGTAAGGCATCTGTCTCCACAGACTCTGCTGTAAGCAAGTTAGTGTGTGGATAACATCGTCGCTGAATAGTACGTGTTGATTCATTTCACCGTCATATGCGTGTCAAAAACTAAACATCAGATGGTCACTGTCTCGTGTTTGCGTCATATCTTTTATACAAGGAATCGTACTACAGAGAACTTTTTCACAAATTTCTTCCACACCGCAAAATGTACGTATCTCATCTCAGCTATGAGCATTCAGAGTTCAGAAGTGCGAGGAACACGTGTCAAAACTCTTGTGTATTGCAGTACAGATTACACTTTTAAATTCTTGTTAATATAATATTTGGTATAGTAAGGGAAACCATGGATATCTTCATGAGACTTTAATCTCGGGATACCTGAAGAAAAGTGAGATATATCTGTACAGAACTAATCTTTAAATCGTTTAACGTAATGGAAGTGGTATTATTTTATCCATGTTAACTTAACCGATCCGAATCCTCGAATTTTCCAAGACTTCGTTCAAAAGCTCTCTATTTTACGGCTTTGAAATACATAACCTCATTCTATTTAACGTGGGTGGAATTCACGAAGTCTGTGTTCCTAAAGCAGACTCCAGTCTTACAAATCATGTATTGTTAATGTTATGTATAAGTAGTGTTTTTTATAGAGAAAATGAAGTTGTAGTGCCCAACAATTTGAATATAAAAAAACCCTGTAATTAATTATTATTAAGTTCTTCTCCTAAAGAAAATACTGTTACAGATATTTCATCTCACACGAGTAGCAGCGGTAATATCTAAAATATAATTAATATTGAAATAGTTTTTAAATTTATTGCAGTCATTAAACATTCCTAACTTGACTAGGATTTGTGTGCATGACCATCTGCGTATAAGAGCAGATTCAATTTTGTTAATTGGCTCTAGCCGAGTTCTCGCCGTGTTACTACAGCGTAATGTGACAAATGCTTACGTTTACCATCAGCCTGTCTTGTCCAAAAGATTATAATTGGACTGATCAAGTCTAGGAGGTTGAGATGGGCAAGGCATGTAGCCTGCATGGGAGAGACAACCAGGAAGACCTAGACGTAGATGGGAGGATAATATTAAAATAAATAAGATGGGTTTGTATTTACTGGATTCAACTTCTTCGTGGTTCTGTTTTCTTTATGGTTCCAATTAATTAATGTTTTAAACTTTAAACGTAATTATATTATTTTTTTTTGAAATTTATTTATAGAAATTCTTATTAGTCCCAATTCTTTGAGAACCTCCATGAACAATGTATCAAACCATCCGTATGTGGAAGCCATTGGTAATAATGAAGTCGTTAAGGGAGGGAAAGGGGTGATAGACGTGTTTTGGGGAGGGGTAGAGCAGGAGAGGTGCATTCAGTATACATTTAACAGGGGTTATATGGAGCATCTGTGTATGGCAGGCCGCCTTTGTACGGATGGATGGACAGATAGTCACTGAGAAAGGGACGGTCGATTGCTGAACGATTGGCTTTTATGTATGAATAGATATTAACTTTTATTGCGGTATTGAATGTGAACGTAATTCCTAACTGGAAAACATAACCTATCTGCTCTCCACGTGCAAGTACAGACACGAATCACTGTTGGACTACTGCATTACGTCACATGTAAACAGCTTTCGATTAGTCGAATTGTTTTAGTTGGTTTTTTCGTCCGAAAAGTGGTTTTATATTTATTATTTGTTCCGTGAACAGTAATTTATTAATTAAATATAATGGAATTCATGTGTAGTCGATACTTCTCTCTTTAAATGCTATATATTTTATATTTCTGGATGAAAATAAATCCGTGTTACGTTAAATTGATCCTTGACTTGGAATAGCTCATCTGTGCTTTGTTTGGCCAATCAGATAATCGAAAGGGCAGTCATAACCACTATTAACCTCTCGGAATGTTCACGAAGATTCTACACAGCACTTCAGTCTTTTTATTGAAGTGTGGGGGATGCGTGTGAGATTATTTTAAGGGAAAGTGGAAAATCGACATTTATTTTTGGCATTAAGTAAGTTAGTGAATTCAAGGATGTGTTAACTTCTGATGATAACGTTCTCTTTTATCAAGCACGTGGAAAATACATTGCAGCACAACATTTTTCACAAGTTTACACGCCGTTTAAGTGAAGACAAGCATGATGTCGCTCAAATGATCGGCCATGTAAACAAACCCTAATTAGTTTACTGCAGCAAATTCTTCTGGATCTACCAAACAACTGGCTTCTGCGACATCTGAGAGGAATACAAGGTTGGTCCTGAGTAGCTGAAAGATGTGAATATTAGTGATGTAGTGTGTTACAACCACGTAAGACAGCATTTTCTTAATACAAACCACTCTTCTGTGTTATCGGACACACAACTTAAATATGACTTCCATGGTTCACTGCAACAGTGGTTCCAGTACCCTTCTGAGATGCACACGACTTTTGGTGAGTACTCTTGTGACATTTTACATTACATTCTGTTGTCTAGAACATGTTTTGTAACCGGACGTGTTGTGCCATCCTGCCTCGCTACGGCGACCTTTTATAATCGTTCCAGTGTCGAGTTACGCGGAGGCAATTTACTGTTTATTTTGTTGTACTAATTCTCGGTATTAATTTTGTAAATTTATTGACACTAAACAGCGATTCGACATGAAACATTTCGAATATGTCGTGGCTGGATCGTAGCAGGGATCCCCTTCTTACCCACTGATTCTTCGGAAACAAAGTCAAGTTACTACATCCAAAAAATTAACTTTTTCCCCATCTATTGCCGAAACGTCGAATTTGTTAAGCAGATATTACATGTAATTTATCAGTAGTTTATTTGGCGACATGGATGGATGGAAGATATTGAACAATGAATTTTGAAGGATTTGTCTTGACTCACGCAATGTACGTGAGATACCGCGCGTGATTTTGAATTGAAGAATTTCGGGGGTGATGATTCAATATGTTGTTATTGTTCATAGAATCGCCGGTATTAAGCTGTGATCCAAGCCGTCACTTTGAATTAGAATAAATATATTTAGAGCGACAGAATAATTTAGTTGGACATGCGAAAGGTAAACAAGATAAATCCAATATGGCTTCCCTTTATGTCCATCTGATGCAGTCTAAGTGACAAGTGTCAAGTGTCTCTATCAACTCGTATATAATGTAATTGTCCCTTGACTTGGGTAGAAGAAGGATAATTATTTATGCAAATGTCAGTGGTGGAACAGGACGCTGTGATGTCAGTGGCGTTGATCGGGTAATACGTACTGCCGGCATTGTTGAGAAATAACGAAAATAATATCAAGTAGTTCGTTTCGAGACCACGCGTAAAATCACAACAATTGTGTCAAAATACCCCGTTCCCCCCCTTAATGACCGAAAACAAGTGACTCCCTGGCCACTGACAAAAATTTTTGTTTTGTTTAGTGATAAAACTAAGCTGTTTGTCTTGTGTTCTTGATGCAGTGACAATAATGGTGTCCTAGAGTCTGACGCAATTACAGCCTCCATCATCAGGGCGATAAACATTTTGAGACTGTAAAAAGTACACATTGATGTTTTCAGACACACACACACGCCATGTAATCTCGAATCCAGTCGCCACAACAC